TTTAACAAACTTGCTCAGAGAAAGACTGTCATGGGATTCTTATGAATTTCCAGTAATACATTCATAATTCCATACATTTTTGTCTGAAGCCTTTTGATGAATTGGTTTTTTAAATTTCTAAAAAATACAATGTACTAGAAGAGGGATTTGGTATAATATTTGCATAGGTGACATACTACTTTGCCTTTCATCTTAGAGGCAAAGGATGATTTACAACTCATCCCCCACCCCCCACCTTTTTGTATTAGGATACACCTGAATTAGGACAACCTGAATACTTGGTTGTCATTGCTTGTTGTCATCCTCTGCACCATAGTTAAAAGGCACTTCATGGTCTATTAAAAATTTTTGTGAAAAGTAGAGAGATAAAAACAATGGAGCCATATAAATGAAACCCAAAATTGAAAATGAAGTGCACAAACCTAGAGCACTAGTTGTGATAATTGTGACTTTCTGCAGTGCAGCTAAGTTTACTCTGCGCATGTTCATTCTGTAGATAATTCTTCATGGTTTTGGTGACAGAATGCTACCACGATATGGAAAACAAATCCCAGAAAAGTCCAAAACTTAACTTTAGAATTTAAAGCATAATTGCTAACAAGTCCGGCATGTTTACAAAGGTCTACATCAGCTGACTTAGGGGACATGCTGATTATTTATCTTCTGATCAAGGTGCTAATGTGTATTTAAATGGTTTAAAGTCAGAGTAAAATGCCACAGCAATAGTACCCTAGATAATTAGTATCTGAACAAGTGGGGCTTTTCCATAATATTTTCTGGCAACTACTACGTATTTCTACTCACCTCCAAAAAAAGGAAAATGGAAAACAGCATATTCTGTGGCCATTTGTGGTTACTTGTGCTATTTGAATTTGAGTTATTTCTGTAATCTGGGTGGTGAGCTACCAAAAAAAAAAAAAATCCCTCCAGAAATAGATTATACATTAGCCTCTCCTGATCCTGTAGCATTCAAGTGAAAAGCGCCAGGGAAGCAAAGCAAACCAAGGCCTGCTCCTGCCACTGAAGGAAATAACCTCGTTCTTTCTAGGACCAGCAGAGCTGGCGGGAAGAAAAGCAATGTCACTTCACTTTTTCAGCACAAACAAGAAATGGAATTGTCCCTTTCCAGGCAAATCACAAAGCTGGTGGTGGTATTGTCCTAGATAAACTCACCAGATGTTCTGGAAGACATCTGTGGTGTCTGTGCCATGTAACACGTGGCTACACACACCCCGACATGTCTGTGCTATGGGGGCGTTCCAATGCCTCTTCCATCCAGTTAGTCTCTCCTTCACTCGGTCTGGGTTAGATGATCTATAATATTATCGCCTCCAAGAGCTAAAAGGTGACCAGATGTGGGTGAGGCACAGAGAAATACCAGCTTGGCCCCTCTGGTTGTGTAGTATCCTCTCTACTTACCTGAATTCTCACCTGTAGGCATAAGGATTAATAATACCTAACCGCTGTGCTTATTGTAGGGATTAGAAATAATGTAGTAACTTGGCACAGGGGCTTACTAAACAGTAGGGGTTGTCTGTATGAAATTACACTAATTTTTCAGTTTGCTTTTAACAGTAGTCCTACTGTATCTAGGTAACGTTTCAGGATATTAGCGTTTTTTCATACTATATTCAATCACCTCTTTGTTCAGTTATAACTGAAACACTGCTCCATTTAAACTTCTAGCCTATCAGCCTGAAAACTGAAATCTAAGTCTTAGGTTCTATTAAGACTTGGGGCTTTTCTCCCAACAGAAATGAAGAGTTAATGACTAGGGATCTTCTCAGTTCTGGCACTAAAATTCTAATGCTTTATGATGAGTCGCTTATTTTTGCTGTTCCCTATGTTTTGCTTAGTTGTTAGGTAGTGTTTTCTATATTACCCTGCATTTCTTCTGAAGTTACTATTATTATACATTGCAATTACGAAAGCCGAGCTGGAACATCAAGTACTAGTATAAAGAGTTCTTTTTAAAAATATACAGTGCATCTTATGGGATTTTAAAACAGCTGATTTATCAGGCTGCTGGCTGCGAACATGGTGAGTGTCAAGTTCTGATGGAGAAGTTCTCTGTGCCAAAGGCCTCTCTGACTTGCTACCATTGGTTCAGGTGTTAACGACAGGCACTACTCCAGACCAACTGAGCACCCACAAAACAAGAGAACTCAGCCAAATGTGACTTCTATCTAGTTCACCCTTCTACTAGACAGGTGAAGAAGGCAAAGCACAGAGTTGGCTTGCCAAGACTCAGTCAATAGTTAAAACAACCTTGTCAAATAAGACATCACATGATCCCTTTGAAGCAGTAGAGTACTACTTCAGGACAACATTCTAGATGTTTGAAATTCATGCCCCAGCAACACGCTGTTTCCATGCGTTGCTTCCTCTTTAGAATCAGGGGCTCAGTGTCCCTGCCACACCTCCTTAATACCTGGTGATAACCTTTGCATGAGGGGCTATGTGACAGGCAGGTTCAGGACAGGAGGCCTCCCTCCCTTCAATTCAGTCACCTTGGTAGTCCTCGCAGTGGCCCAGCCCTGGAGAAAGACCTGGTGAAATACAGGGACCTGAGCGTAAAGATGTTACCATAGTTACTGCCCCCCTTCACAAGTGTGATGTCACTTCCTTCTGATTTGCAGTCTGGGAGGAAGGAGCTGTAGGAATGGAAACCAGCTGTGGGCTAGGGGTGGTCTTCTCTCATCTTTCCACCATCATGAGTAAGGGTTCTAGCCACAGCCACTTAATAATAACAGGACCTTGGGAACAATGAGTAAAAGAGAGGTTTGGACTAGACAGGGGAAGACTGTCTCTAATGTCCCTTCTAATTCGAAAATTTCCGTGGCCCCCTAATTTTACCTTCTAGGGAATGACTTTTACTCTCCTACATTGAACATACAAACATCTATCCATGATATGTACTATTTTTGACAAAGGGGAAAGATTTGTTATGCTACCCACCCTTGCCTGGCTAACCAAAGGCAATGCAAGTGACAGCACACAAAGGCGAGATCCCACATCGCAGGTAGGGAGGCTTCCAGCAGCCTTAAGCATTAGGAACACACCTGTGAACCAGAGATATGCAATTGCAAGAAAACTCCACTCATTTAGCTCCTAGGGTGACACATAAAGCATTCGCCTCTTGTTTTTTTCCCAGAGCAATTAAGATTAAAGGAGGGAAAGAGATTAAAAATGTAGGTTTCTTTGGAGCAGAAACTCTTCTAGGGATGGTTCATTGGTTAAAGGGCTTGTGCAATGAGCAGGACAATATGCATGGAAGGATGGCAGAAATGAGGAAGGTGCTATGTCAGAATGATGTTCTTTTTTAACCCTTGCCCACACCCCCTACTTTATCATATGGTAAATACTTAGGAATGTACATGAGCTCCTTGACATCCATCAAATCAGACTTGGGTTTTCAGGAAATTGCTTCTCACATCTGAAACAAGAAATGTACTGACTGATGGGCCTCCCTGGTGGCGCAAGGGGTTAAGCACTGCACTAAGAAGCAATCCGTGGCCTCTGCAGCACTAGTTTGATCACCGGCCCGCCAGGGAGAAATCCACATGGTGCAGCAGACCTCTCCTGACTTGCCTGCTGCACCCCTCAGCAGTGTATTTCAGTCAGTCTGCCTGTTCTGTTCCCTGGTGAGTGCTCTCACCCCTTGTATCTCTGGCCTGTACCCCAGCTCTTGTATGCATAAATAAAATCTTTTTTTTTTTTAAAGAAAGAAATGTAGGGCCTCCCCAGTAGCGCAGCGGTTGAGCGCTGGGTTGCGAAGCTGCCTGCAGCCTCTGCAGCGCCGGTTCGATCCCCGGCTGCTCCCAGGCCACGGGAGGAGGGTCCCACATGGCGCGCAGACCTCTCCTGCCGCCCGCTGCTCCCCTCAGCAGTGTATTTTGGTCCTTCTGCCTGCTCTGCTCCCCGCTATGGCTCTGGTGAATTCTCTCACCCTCCCGTGCTTCTGACTATACTCAGTGCTTGTATAAATGAATGAATGAATGAATGAATGAATGAATGAATGAAAGAAATGTATTGACTGATGGTACCCTATCATTCCTAACTCTAACTGGAGTCTTTTGTGAAGTGAGCTCAGTGGGTGTTTAATAAGGTGATTCACACTTTTTGGCCAGAAACTCATTCATTGAAAACCTAGCATTTCCCCCCTTCTGCCACATGTTACTTCTTGCTTTTGCATCCCCCTTCCTCCTTGGGCTCAGCTGCAGCCAACAGTCTGGAAATTTCAGCACAGAGAGATTGGTAGCTGATGGCTGAGAACTTGCACAGACACTTCTTTTAAGAAGTGTGGTCTTTAAATCCACAGCCAATGAATTAAACTGATAAAAACAACTGTACTATTTATAGGAGCGAGCTCCATGAAACAAAATAAAACTCCCCGGTACAACAAACATTTAGTGAGAATCCATTTCATATTCATCTCTATAAAATTCTGTATGCATTCTATTACAAAACTTCAAGAGGCCTTTTAAAAGGCTTCAGTGTTTGCCCTTTGTCTTTTGAGTCAAAGAGTGAGACAGAATGAATCAATCACTTCTTCGAATCCTTAAGGTTCTGTATTTCTCTCTTGCCTTTGGAAAACAAAAGGAGCTCTTTAAATGATCTGAATTTTCAATGGTTTACTCAACTTATGAATTGAATTTTGCGTAAGAACAGCTAACACTTGGGCCTCCCTTGTGGTGCAAGCAGTTGAGCACAGCACTGTGAGGCTGTCCGCAGCCTCTGCAGTGCCGGTTCGATCCCCGCTGGCCTCGGAGTAACCCACATGGCTAGCTGTCCTGTCTCGCCTGCTGCTCCCCTCAGCAGTGTATTTCATCAGTCTTCCTCTTCTGTTCCCTGCTCTGTCTCTGGTGAGTCCTCTCACCCTCCTGTGCCCTGGCTCTTGTATAAATAATAATAATAAAAAAAAACAGCTAACACTGAGGCTGACTCCAAGGTCCAGGTTGTTACTGTATGACATCTGACACAAGCTGAAAGTTACTTACCTTCTCCTTGTTCCTCTTCCTCCTCCTCTTTCAGCAGCTTGCCAATGGAATTAAACCACTTGAATTGTGGGTCAGGGATGCCATAAACACTACAGTTAATCAAGGCACTGTTCCCTTCCTTGACTATGATATGGTCAGTTCTGGCAATGATTGTGGGCGCAGAGCCCAGGGCCATGTCCGTGCTATTTAAAGTGCTGTTCGTTACACTCTTAGCAGTTGCTAGAGAGGATACTAGGATTAAAAAGGGCACAGAAGGTAGAAAGCACACAGGCAGATGGCTCTTCAGTCCATCCATCTTCTTTGCTTGCTCTGTAAGGCAACAGAGATGGTTTGCCAATGGAAGCTTCTATCGGACAATACGCTGTTCAAGGCAGGCCATGGGTCAAACCTGTCATGGATCCAGAGAGATAGTTCTTGCTTAAGAACCTGTGTTAAGAAAACAAAAAAACAAACAAACAAACAAAAAAAACAGAAAAGCACAGGTACGTAAATATTAATATTCATATGGTAGTGTCATTTATAAAATGTTAGAAACTCAAGCAAAATGCAAACCTACATAACTTTAAAACATTAAATTCAGATGTTTTAAGTGCGACATGAGATTTTTCACAGGAATCATAATTTATAAAACCATACAAAATGTATTTATAATTTAGAAGGCTGTAAATTATAGACAACATAATTTTTTAATTTTTGCAAGTGAAGCATATCACTCTTAGCAGAAACAATTACATCTCTTATGTTAAGTTGATCTCACATTACTTTGGGGATTCAAAACCTGATTAGGTTGTTTTTCATGCCAGATGAAAAGGTGTCTTTCCACCCCATTGCCCATCTTCGTTGTGGATGACCTCATCATTTACCTGGGCTGTTCTTCAACCTTTTCCATCAATACGACTTCCAGTCTATATGTGAGACTGCAGTGTGGTGCCTGCAGGCATTTAGAAGGGCTGCACCACAGCCAGTCCAGCATTCTCCTAACTCCCTATTATCCCTTCCAGACACGCCTTTCCCCTTTTGTGCAAAACTGTCCTGCTTTTTGAGTTGCACTCTACCTAGCTCTTCTGCTCATTGCAGTTGTTATCTATGACTTCTGATTACTCAATTCCCTGGTTTCAATCTTAATCTGCCTCCCAGAGGTAGGGGAACCTCATGGTATATAGGGTGACATTATGGGTCGTGGTGGTTCTATGTCCATAGATCTAACCTTCACCCAGGCCTCTATCCTGTGTTTCAACCACTAATGGCACTACCACAACCTGGAACTTTCATGTCTCCAAATTCTAAATTCTAGAGCTCCAAGTATTAGAAGTTCTAAATAACCACTTTGATCCACACCCTTGCATGCTTCTGGATCTCTTACTGCCCTCAATGGGCTTTCTAGCCATTACTGATTTTTCTCAGTTTCTATCTCCCTTCTCAATCCCACCTGCAAGCTTTATTTCTGTGTTAATCAAGACCTAATCACATAGACCACAACGCCAATGTCCTCAACCCTGGTCCTTCTGCACGGTTACTCTGCCAGTACACAGTCATGAAGCCCATCACTGTCATTCTGGTTCCTACCCCCAGGAGGCTGGAGAGCTCTGGACAGAATCCTAAAACCACATCATACCTGCTAGGATGAAGGATATGCACTCCCAACTCTGCCCAGGCCCTTGGGGACAGCTGGTAATCTGTGTATCAGTGCAAGTGGATTTGGTGTTCTCTTTCCACAGTTGCTTTGAAACATTCAGCTCTTGAATCAAGCACCTTGGCCCAGGGGTATGTCTCCTCCTCTGAAAAGTTGCGTTTCTCCTACTAGGGCTCACCAGCATCAATTCCCTGTGTCCACATTCCCACTTTTTCTGAAGTACCCCGGATCATATCGGAAATTCCATGCCTACCATTTCCTCCCCAGGCTACCACATCTGTATTTTTTTTGCTCTTGATTGAAATGACTCTTGCTCTGGTCACCAACCCTTCTTCCCGTTTTCAGTCTTTCTCTTACTTAATCTCTGTGGTGGTTGCCAGCATGAATTGGTCTTTCTCAAAAGTCTTCCTCAGTCTGCTCCTGCTATCTGCTCTCATTATTCCTATTAGTTCCGATATATCTCCCCTACTCCTTAAAAGTTAACTAACCCCCAGTATCTCATCACTGCACCCCTTTTCCCCTGCAGTTCTTACTATAACCATCTCAGTAAAACAACACCCAAACCATATCTTCAGCCCTAACTCTCTCCTGAACTTCAGCCAACTGGTGTTACCAACTGTCCTCTGGCCATCCTGACCAGGATATTCTGCAATTACTCAAAATTAACATCCCCAAACCAAAGTCATCTGCTGAACATGCTTCATTTCCTAGATCCTTTATTTTACTTGCAGACACCACCATCTATGCAGTCATGGTTGGGTATAATGCTCAACTCCAATGCTGCTCTTGTGCCTTCAGAACATCCATGAAACTACATGTTACGTGGATTCTACCTCTTAAATATTGCTTGGATTGTTCCATCCTGTCTAACTTCTCTGAGCAAGACTCGGCTAGGCCTCCGTATCTTTTCCCTGCCAGAAGTGATGTGGTCGCCTCCCACATGACCTGTCTGCCTTGAGTCTTTCCCCAGGTCCAGATAGAATCCCGATCACCATTCTACAACACAAATTACATGTTGCTGTTCCTTTACTTATCAACCTTCAGTGCACTGCTTACATTACAGTGTCAGAATTTCTTCCCCTTTTATTCACTCAAGGAATAAATTACTGACCATCTTCTATTAAGAAGATACTGTTCTAAGACCAAGAGAGAGAAAAGCTGACAAGGCAGATTGTTGCTGTTATGTAGAGATTATATTCTCACAGAAAAGGCAGGCAATAAATAATACCCAGGAAATGATATTTCCAAGTCATGATACATGTTTTGAAAACCACACCATGATGTGCTGGAATGATGAGGTAGGCAGTTATGGAGGAATTTCATTGAGGAGATGGCTCTCAAACTGGGGGCTCTTTAGAAATCAGCCTTCACTAGATTGGGATAAGTGCATTTCAGGGAGAAGAAGGAACAACAAAAGCAAACAACCAGGTTGAGGATGCAGGGGAGGGAAGACACAGACGGGGAAGAGAAGTAGACAGACCCACATCCCTGAGGGCTTTGCAGGACAGAGCAACAGGTTTGGATTTCATCTGACATTCACTAGAGAGATTTAAGCAAGGTAGTGATCAGAGTTATTTTTTTTTAAAGCAGCTTTACTGTATTCTAATTCACAAGCAGTAAAAAGTGCCTACCGTAGGTTTAGATTTGAATGGGTTTTGACAAATTTGTATACCCAAGTGGCTACCATGATCAGCAAGATCTAGAATGTTTCCATCACCACAAGAAATTGCCTGTGGCCTTGCTCTGGCCTTGTGTCTGGCATGAGGACAGGATTGGGACTCATATTTTTGCAATATGGATATTCAGTTGTTTCAGCACCATCTGCAGAAAAGACCATCCTTTCTACAATGGATTACTCTTGCATGCTTGTAAAAAATGAAGTGTTTACTTGTAAATTCTTTATTCTTTCCCGCTGATGTCTATCTGTATGTCACTCCCATCCTGACTGCCCTGCCTGCCTCACTTATCTTGATCTAGTTTCTGAAGTTGTCCCTGACATGTTAGATGCTCAACAAATTGTCTGCTGAATGAATGATTCTCTTTCCAAAAGCAGAAGTTATTCTAATTCTGTAGATGACAGAACTGAAGAGGTACCAGGGGTGATAAATTAGTTTCAGACCATATGTTTTATCAGAGGGAGAGAAGAGCTTTCTTAGTACCCAGACTTCCCCATGCCCCTCAGTGCCGGTTGCCTTCCTGCCCAGGAAGACCCTGGCATCAGTGGGCAGCAGGAATGGCGTGGCTGTGGAGAAAGTGCAGCCAGCCAGGCATGACACAGACTCCTCCCTGACTTTTTCTGTTCTTCGTTACTTGGCCAAACCTGTGAGAGGGAATTTGTAGAGCTCATCTTTTCAATACAGAATGGCTATTACCAGAAGGGCCTCAGGTTTTAGATGGACTGGGCCAGGCTCCTAGATCTAACCACCTTAGGGGTGAGTATTTCTGTGCCTACGAATTACAGGACATTTATTAAAGATTCATGATCAAATGTCCTGACATATAGTTCAGCCTGAGAGAGAAGAATTATCAACTGATGTATAAAAGCATCTTTCACTGAAATTTTGCTTCTCAAGTTTGTTTTTAAGTTAAATCATTTAGAAGACATACCTTGCTCTAGGTTTGTTTAATGCATTATTGACTGCCCTCCCTCTGCCAGAAGTCACTGCAAATGATTTTCAGCACAGGGCCCCATGGCATGGACTTGAGTCTGAACACGCAGCAGGCACTGTCGCTGCAACCTGAGGGCAGAGCTGGCAACACTCATCTTTTTGCTTCAGTTATATTATTTTTATTGTGGAAACAATGATTTATGACACTGTATATAATTTGGAGTTATAGGTTCACACCTCTTCCAACAGGTGGCAGCCAAAGTCCCATAATCCTCCACCGTAGTCAACTGGACCCTTTCCTCCTGCCTCCCCTCAGGTAGCTCCAGTTCCACAGTTAGATTTCTAGGGTTTTTCTTTTCTTTTTTTTTTTTTTTAAGATTTATTTATTTATTTATACAAGATCCAGGGTACAGGCCAGATTGACGGGAGAGTGAGAGGATTCACCCGAGACAGAGCGGGGAACAGAACAGGCAGACTGATGAAATACACTGCTGAGGGGAGCAGCGTGCACGGCAGGAGAGGTCTGCGTGCCATGTGGGACTCTCACTGGCCGGATGGCATTGAACCAGCGCTGCAGAGGCTGCGGACAGCTTCATAGCACAGCGCTCAACCTCCTGTGCCACCAGGGGAGGCCCTCTAGGGTTTGTTTTGGTTTATTTTTTTGTTCCTTTGTTTTGTTTCTGCATATTCCACATGTAAGTGAAATCATCTGGTATTTGTCTTTCTCCTTTGGACTTAGCTCGCATAATGCCCTCCAGTTCTACCCATGTTGTTGCAAATGGCAAAATTTTGTCTTTTTAATAGCTGAGTAGTATTTCATTGTTTGTGGATAGACAGAAGGATGGATGGATGGATGGATGGATGGATAGATAGATAGATAGATAATCACTCATCTTAACTCCCTGAAGCCTAGGGTAAGCAAATGCCTGACTAAGTATCTTTGGGGATAGAGGGGGAGTAAGAGAAAGGACAAAATGGGAGATCGGTTCTAATAAATTCACACAGTAAATACACCAAAACTTCTCCTTCCTACAGTTAGGGAGATTGCAGCAAAATGAAGATCAAACTGGGTTTTAACATCCATAAATTGAGTTGTTTTCAAACAAAGCCTAACTGCATTGGTTTTCTACTTTCAAACACACTGTGCTAACAAGAATGAAGAGAAGGGGGTACTGCTGTTCTAT